ATGCAAACTAAAATAAGATTACGTCTTGACATGACAGAGCACTACTGTTTCTAAACTACTTGGTGGTTTGTCTGGCAAACAAGCATGGTTACTTAAGAATCTACTATTTGTCTTCTTTTCTCCCCTACTGAGCAGTACCAGGGGTCAGGTGAAAAAGTGACTGACGAGCGAACCCAGGAACTCTACTCCCAGAGCAACTCTCGCCATCAGGAGCTGCCCTAGGCGTGGCGAGCAGCACAGCCTTCCTGCTTCCCTCACACCAGGTCCCTGGTTGGCCTCCCTGAGTTTTCTGCCTTCCCAACCATGCTGCTGAGATTTTCCTGGATCTAACAAGCATGGTGAGTGTCAGCAACGTACGAGGGTACTCATGAAGGAGGAAACAGTGGTGGGCACCAGGAGATATATGGCCTGTGCAGACTAGGAGACACTCAAAAATGCCCAGCAAGTCGGGGCAGAGGAAGCAGAATTATCGCAGGAAGACCACTGGACTCTCCTGTGTACGTTCTGAAAGGCTAGACCTTGTGGGTCTTTGTGTACATGAACTTCAGCAGAACTGGGGACAGTGAGGAAATTAACTTTCACTAGGTGCCTATTATGAATTGAGCGCCAGTCAGTATATTCTGCATGTTAATATATGAGTAACATATAAATTTACATTTTTTAAAATTATTAGACAATGCAAGTGAACATATAAAATGGCTTATGGAGATACGTGACAGAAGTGCCTTTGAAAAAACCCTTTTGTAAGAGTTAGGTGGAAAGAATTAGGTCCTCTATGTAGGATTTAGCTAGATAATCACAAAGAACTGGGCATTTTCTCTTTTTTCTAAAGGGAATCAATGCAGCTTCATAATCTTCATTCTACAGCACCCTCTGCTGGAAACAGTGCCTCAAGTATCAGATTTTCTTGAGTTTTCCTTTTTCCAAATGCTCACAATTCGCGCTGTTTCGTCCAGTAGAATTTCCTGAAACACGACAATTTCAATCTTCCCACAATCCTGCCCTTCAACTAAGTAAGGCATCATAATCTATATTAGATAATGATGTCATCCGTCTGTCCAAGCCAAATGCCAGCCTGTTTCATGTTACACCTTACTCCTGGGCCCTGAAGTCTGGATGTGTACAGGAGGGACTGAGGGTGGCCAAAGGTCCCTGGTTGCAAGTCAGGAGGGCCATGGGCACACGGCCAGTACTTCTAGGATGAAGCAGCCCATGGGAGTGGCTTCCCTGGGTCAGGACGCACCAGGAAGAGGACGGGGCAGAGGGGGGTCACTGCAAAAGGGCAGCCAGAGTTTATAATCCACATAAAGGAACAAGAGATGAGGGAGACCAACCAGCAGCTCCAGGCGAGAAGCCCCATCCCCTCCCCTAACGCCTCCTCCCTGCGGGCCACCAGACAAACAAGGACAGGATGAATAGATAACCAAGGAGACAGACTTGAGAATCATACTTTGTTGTAAACAGCAACAGGCTTTTTTTTTTTTTTTAAACAGTTTTTATACCCTGAAGTGTCAGAAAGCCCGGAGTTCTGTGTGGAGAAGGCAGGCGTCCTGTGGAGACTCACTGTCACGGGCTGGGTGGGAAAACTAGGGCTGCTTCCTGACTGAAGCTTCCTGAGATACACTGTTTAAGGAAGAAAGACCTGTCCATGCAGGAGGGCAAGGGTGAGTCAGGAGGAGACGGTGTCTAGATACAAGGGAAGTTCTGGGGAACGTGGATTGCTAAGGGCACAGCCAAAGGGTAGGGCAGTAGCAAGCCAGAGAAAACACCCCCCAGTGTCCACCCACAGGGCTCCTCCAGCCTCACCCACAAAGCTCAGGGCTGTCCTGGTTCTTGCACACCCAGCAGGCAGGGCCAGTCACGGGCTTGCAAGGTAATTCCTCTAGCAGGTATTTTGTTTATACCTGGAATGATCACCTCCTTCTTAAAGTTGTGGTAATGGTTATATTAAATAAGTTATGTGGAGTGTTCACCTACTGAATGGACAGAGGATGACCTGAGCTATTTAAATGTGCTTTTCACATCCCTGTCTAAATAGAACCGACCATGGATATATCCAATGCATGTGTGAATGCTTCCACTGTCACTGTAAACACTAGCTGATCACAGCATTACTGACAACAATGCTGTGGACAGTGAGCCCATCTGATGTCCACAGATCAATCAGGAAACAAAAATGTGGTGCACACACACACTGAATATTGCTCAGCCTTGAAAAGGAAGGAAATTCTGACATATGCTACACGAACCTTGAGGACACTATACTAAGTGAAGCAAGCCAGTCACAAAGGACAAACACTGTGCGATGACATTTACACAAGGGACTGAGAACAGTCAAATACAAGGGGACAGAAAGCAGAACGGTGGCTGCCAGGAGGGGGAGATGGGAGCTCCTCTTCAGCAGGTGCAGAGTTTCAGTTTTGCACAAAGAAAAGGTTCTGAAGATGGTTGGATGAACATGGGTACACTACAATGTGAATGTACTTAGTGCCACCGCAACATACGCTTAAAAATGACTAAAATGGTCAATTTTATGTTACGTGCATTTTACTGCAATTCGAAAAGAAAAAAGAAAAAGTCATAAAAAACTAGTTTCAATGAAATGCTAATAAAAGATTAAGAGTTGTGGGCATAAGGCTATTTTGTTTCCCCTTAGACCTACAAGCTAAAATACATTGCTATTTTGGCTTTTATTTTCCATATTCATGTCATTCTACAAACCAAATAGTTTTACCTTGATTAAAGTTGTTCTGCTACAATGAAATTATTTTTGAAGCATGAAAGTTTCTCCAGAAGAGCATGTCTTTCTATTTTATGAAGACTCAGAGGGAATAAAATTTGATTATTAAAATATACTATTTTAGGTTTTCCCCATTAACCCCCCTCCTGAAAAGGGGAAGAGAAATACACAGGACTTAACATGCTGATTTTTTTGTAGCATATTTATCTCCTTAATTGTGTTTCCCTCACAAGCTGGGGAAATGTTATTATTTTATATAATCACCCCTATCTGTAGTAAGCAGAAGCCTTCAGCATGAGGACAAGTTGGAGTAAGAAGAAAATTTAAGAGAAACAATCCACAACAGATGCCAGACAAGCTACTAAAAACAAACGTGAGAAAGATGAGAACAGTAAACTCTGCAGAAAAGCTGGTAGGGTAGGAAAGAAAAAGCATGAAAAAGGGACACATTTGAAGGTAATAAAATGTAAGTCCTATAAATTCATTTTTAAAATATTCCATTAAAATCTGACAAGTGTTTTCTATAAAGGTCCATATACTAAGCATTTCCAGCTTTGTGAGCCATATGGCCTTCCGTGGCCGTTACTCACTTTAGCACAGAAGCAAGATTTAAAGGTGTGGCTGTGTTACAATAAAACTTTATTTACAAGAACAAGCTGCCCACAGATTTGGTCTGAGAACAGCAGTTTGGCTGAACCCTGGTCTAGAAACCAAAACAAATAAATAATAAGATAATTTGAAATACACATATCAATGCACATCGACTAAAATACCAAAGATTCTTATTTTGTCCTTCAATGAACCAGACCTATGAGCAGAAGTTAAAACTTTAAACATCCCTTTCCTACCTAAAGTTCTAACTCTTTCAAGAGAAGAGGTAAGTGAGCTAAAAAGTTTATACTAGATTCTTCATTTCCACTAAAAATGGGATAAAATCTCACCCATGTTAAAACATTCAGAGTTTCTCTTTCTTAAACAAAAAAAATTTTCATACTACACAAAAATGAATGAACAAGAGTCAAAATCATACTCTAAGTGCTCCTAACTTTCTTCCCAGTTGAGTAGTACAATACAGAATAAAACTGGGGCCATTAACTTGAAAAACCTACCACGTCAATAGAGGTTGGTTACTCAGTACGGTATCAGTCATCTAAATTTTAATAGTTGGAAGAGCCATCAACTTTATGCTGTGCACTGAACTTGAATATAAGAGGGATTAAATGCAACAGGACAGACCATTTACATGTACATGTAAGAACAAATTAGGACAGTATCATGTTGAAAATAAACTCACTTTTTTCATTTTCTTCCTAGTTTTAGCTGGGCTTCCCTTACAATTATAATTTACATTGGAATATATGTTCCAATTATATGAGGTAATTGTGGTTAAGCTCTTTGAAATTTGTACATATTTAGTAAGTTTGATGTTCAAATTTATGGATTCACTTCATCACTTCTTTTTGTAACTTTAAATATATTTTTACTATTATTAGTGTGCTCACCTCATATATTTCTTATTCTAACAAAAATAATTTAGCTAAAAAAAGTAAAAGTGGGTTACTGTTAAAACCCTCAAAGAATGTATGAATAAGTATAAAATGGAAAAATGTCCAAAATACTAATTTTAATGTAAAAACAAGTGAACATGAAAAAAGTATAGTTGTGTAAAAAAGCAAAATACACGCACACTTTCCTCCAACATTACTTGTGTATACAAAGAAAATTTATGAGACTGCTCTGCTCACCTGTGAGAAACAGGATTCCAAGATCTGAAATGTTCATAATTTACATTAGTGTGTAGTTTATATTTTTTACTATAAGCCTGTATTATGACTTTTATGTTGAGAGTACAGTTAAAAGGCTTACAACCTTCATCATTAAGAGTCAATTTAACTACCAAAATTTTAACAAAAGAGTCTTTACTCACAGAACCTTTACCATCCATAAAGGGGAGGGGAGGGGGGCTATGGGAGATGGGAGAGTATTTGGGGGGGACCTCACCTAATATGCAATGCAATACAGAATCATTTCAAAACTATTAAGAAATGAGTATAATTGTGATGGATGTGTTACTTAGTTCAATGTAATCATTTCATATTATATATCGAAGCAGTACTCTGAACCCCATAAATGCATCAATGTACAAATGTTATGATTTAATAAAAAACAAATTTAAAAAGATCATCAAATAATAGAAATATGTATAGACACATCTATGAGACACAGTCTTTGAGAGTGAAATTTCCCAGCTGTACAGTACCTCAGCTCCACCCATCCATTTAGGTTCATCAGGAAACTCAGCACACAAAATATCTTCAGACTGATCAGTCCCCAAGACATGGTAGCAGAGCTTTTGGTGGAGGTTGGTGGATGTCTCTGTGCCTGAAGGAGTTAAAAATGTATACTGAATTGCAGCAGGGAATTTTAAGAAAATCTGTTCCATCTACATTGTACAATGCTAGAAACATTTAAAAAGTTAAGTGCCTGGATACATGACTAATATATAAACATAAATTGCTTTCCTATATACCAGCAAAGAATGAGATTTGAAATTAAAAACACAGTATGTTAACAGCACTAAAATTGAAATATTTAGCTATAAGTCTAACAAAATATGTACAAGCTATAAATCAGGAAAAACTACAAAACTCTGAAGAAAGAAATAAAAGAAGAGCTAAATAAAGTCCATGCTCGTGGATATAGGATGACTCCATACTGTCAAGATATCAGTTCTTCCTACTCTGATCTCTAGAATCAATGTATTCCCAATCAGGATCTTAGAAACATATTTTGTGAGTATTGACAACTGATTCCAAAGTTTATATGGAGAGGCAAAATACTCAGAGTGGCCAACCATGACATGGAAGGAGAACAGAGTCTGGAGGACTGACATTGCCCAACTTTAAGACTTAATATAAAGCAGCTACTAGGGAGGCTGACGCAAGAGAATTGCCTAAATTTAAGAGCTGGAGGTTGCTGTGAGCTGTGACGCCACAGCACTCTACTGAGGGTGACAAAGTAAGACTCTGCCTCTTAAAAAAAACAGAAATAAAAACAAAAACAAAAACGACTTAATATAAAGCTATGGTAATCAAAGTTGTCTTGGCAAAAGAATCAAGGGAACAGAATGGGCAGCCCAGACATAGACCCACAATCGCTCTTTGACAAAGGAGCAAAGGCAATTCAGGTGGAGCAAAGACGGCCCTTTCAACAAATAGTACCAGGACAGAGGGACACCCACAGGCAAAAATAATCAATCTGGGCAAGAGTCACACCCTTCCGAAAAGTGAACTCAAAATAGATCAAAGATCTAAATGTAGAACATAAAACTATAAAACTCCTAGAAGATAACTGAGGAGAAAATCTAGATGGCCTTGGTTTGGCAATGATTTTTTTAAATACAACGATAAAGGCATAATATATGAAGAAGTGATTGATAATCTAGCCTTTATCAACAACTTCTGCTTGGCAAAATATATGATCAGGAGAATGAAAAGACAAGCCACAGTCAAGGAGAAAATATTTGCAAAAGACATAACTGATAGAGGATTGTTATCAAAAATATATAAAGAACTCTTAAGACCTAACAATAAGAAAACAGACAACTGACCTTAATAGACAGCCTACCAGAGAAGATACTCAGACGGTGGATAAGCATATGAAAAGATGCTCCACAACACGTCTTCAAGGGAAACGCAAATTAAAACAAGGAGTTACCGCTACACACCTGTCAAAATGGACCAGATCGAGAACACTGACACCATCACATGCTCACCAGGCTGTGGAGCAGCAGGAACTCGGATTCACTGCTGGTGGGAGCACAAAATGATACAGCCAGTAATGGTGCAGCCACTTTAGAAAGCAGTTTTGGAGGTTTCCTTCAAGACTATACGCAGTCTTCACACACAATCCAGCAATTGTGCTCCTTGGTATTGACCCAAAGGAGTTGAAAATATATCCACACAGGACAGTGCTGTTGCTCAGTGGGTAGGATGCCGGCCACGTACACTGAGGCTGGCGGGTTTGAATGTGGCCCGGGCCTGC